CTCTCTCTCTCTCTCTCTCTCTTCTTCTTCTCTCTCTTCTTCTCTCTCTCTCTCTCTCTCTCTCTCTCTCTCTCTCTCTCTCTCTCTCTCTCTCTCTCTCTCTCTCTCTCTTCCTCTCACTTGCTTTCTTCCCCCTCTCTCTCTTCCTCTCACTTGCTTTCTTCCCCCTCTCTCGCTCTCTCGCTTCCTTTATTCTTTCTGATATATGTGACATATAATTCGCGGCGCAACGCTTGCAGGTCTCCTCGTCACCTTCTTCATCATCGATCGCATCGGCAGGAAGAAAACGATGGCTGTAGAGTTTGCTCTCTTTTCGCTCTTCACCTTCCTCCTCTTCATGTGCAGTACTAGGTGAGTGTAAAAGCCTGTGTTAAGGAGGAAGGTGAAGAGAGGCTTCATGTGCAGTACTAGGTGAGTGTAAAAGCCTGTGTTACCTCTCTTCACCTTCCTCCTGTTCATGTGCAGCACTAGGTGAGTGTAAGAGCCTGTGTTACCTCTCTTCACCTTCCTCCTGTTCATGTGTAGCACTAGGTGAGTGTAAAAGCCTGTGTTACCTCACTGAGCGCAGCTGAAATCACTCATAATGTACAGAGCTAAACCTGCTTTAGTGGTCGCCTCAGTAGAATGGACACCTGTCTAGAAAGGACACTGAGAGGTTTCCTTGAGTGACGGTTGACTGTGCAGCAGACGGGTATCTCACTCGGGCCATCGCACGAGTAAAAAGCCGTAGCAACCAAAACAAAATAAAAGCAAACGGGTGAACGAAAGCAGTGACTTTGCTGCACGAGAACCTGGGATGGTAAGACTACATGTGTTACTTGCTGCTACCAGTGTCGACCGCCGCAACCAATATAGAAACCACCGCTTTTGATACAACGAAAATAAATTCCATTGATATCAATGCGAGAAAAAATCACCCAATGTCATCACAAAAGGGAATCAATTGAACTACTTAATAAAATCCGTGCTAATAACAGTCAACATCAACGTGGCCGGTATCCGTGGTAACTGCAGTCATTGACCAATAACGGTTGTCGATAACAATACAGATGGTTGGCGTGTATGAAGAGAGAATGTGTGTGGCACACGAGTGAATGCCTCGAGATTGCTGTATGTATCGCTGATGGTCATAGGGTCTATGTCCCCCAGGGTACTGCCGGAACGTACCCTGGGGGACATAGACCCTCTCAGCATCGCTGATGGTTGATGTACCGATGATGTACTGATGATGGTGATGGTGATGATGGTGACGACGGTGACGATGACGATGATGGTGATGGTGAGGATGGCAACGACGGTGACGATGACGATGACGATGATGGTGATGATGGTGATGATGATGATGATGGTGATGATGGCGACGACGGTGACGATGACGATGATGGTGATGATGGTGATGATGATGATAATGACAACGACGACGACGGTGACGATGACGATGATGGTGACGATGATGGCGATGATGATCGATGTACGTCTATGTTTTAGCGTGTTTATTATCCCTGTGCGGATGTGCGTCGTGTTTGTGAGGTGAAGTAGAGATGATGTTGTTGTGGTGCTTATTGCAGGGGCATGCTGACGTTCTTCATCTTCGTAGCGCGAGCGTTTGTATCCGGGGCATTCCAGGCAATATACGTCTACACCCCCGAGGTATGCTCACCTAATCATGTATTATTGAATGTCACGATGAAATATAGCTGTTAAGTCTTAATTAGGTGTTAATTTGGGTATTGTACACTGGGTATTGTGATGCAGTGCATTAAAGTGTTGGCTTTTATTACACTGGCACACAGATCAGCTGCGTGGTCAGTTTTCGTCTGCTGTGTGTCACAAGACAGCGAGTGCGTGTGTTAGCGCGTGTGTTAGTGCGTGTGTGTGTATGTGTGACCTTCTGGCAATTGCTGCAGATGCGTTGTTATAGCAACGATTCACCTAGTCGCCGTAACTGTCGGTACAGTCGTACCTCTATTAGAGGTCACCCCTGTAGATCAGACACCTGCTTACGAAGAAAACTTTTGATGGTTTTCGTTGAGTGACTGCTATGTACAGACTTGACGCATTGATTTCTTGCTCACTGCTGCTTGTTCTGCGCAGGTGTATCCAACGACATTCCGTGCTGTGGGCTTAGGCACCTGCAGTGGCTTTGCTCGTGTTGGTGCTATCATCACTCCATTCGTCGCCCAGGTGAGAGATTCACAGACATTAACTTCGTACTTTATAATTTTTCTAGGGGATGGCTGCATGACTAGATGACCGTATATGGTCGTTTCGTCATCCCTTCGTTATATTGTTTACTAATTGTTAATTACTAATTGGTTTGTTAAAAAATCCTTGTAATTACTAAGCGGTGAAAATCTGGTATTGTTTCCGAAAACCGACTCGAGATCCCTGTTGGCTGCGACTCTCTCTCACTTTGAGATAGCTTTGGGAAACCTCGCGTGTTTCCGTCAATGATTGACAAATGGAATGAATGACGTCTGTTATTGATTACCATAGTATTGACCCCCACCTGTGCCCACCTCACGCTGGATGTAGTAATCTCTGTAGTACTGACATAATGAGTCCCGCGCTACCACGGCGCTACACAGCGGCGACCGGAAGCAACACACTGGCCACAAAACGAGAGAGAGTCGCAGCCAACATGGATCTTGAGTCGGTTTTCGGCAAAAATACCAGATTTTCACCACATTATCTCAGCGTAGGAGCATCGTAGGGACAAGCGGTTTGTTTTATATTAGTAAGGTAGGACAGCTGATCAATACTACCGCAAAGAATCGTCAAAATAAAACGGGCAAAGTTTATTAATTCGACTAATACTGCAACATGGTTTCAGCATTTCATCGTTGTACGCTCTCCTTCTTTATACGCTCTTGAATCTATATATGTGTGTGTACATGTGTGTGTACATGTGTGTGTGTGTGTGTGCGTGTGCGTGTGCGTGTGCGTGTGCGTGTGCCGTGTGGCGTGTGTGTGCATTGTACATGCCGTGTGATTGGCACAGCGTGTGATTGTACCATGCAGCCTGTTGATTGTACATGCAGTGTGATTGTACATGGATGTTAGTGTGATTGTACATGCAGTGGTGATTGTACATTGCATGCATGTGATTGTACATGCAGTGTGTTGTACATGGCAGTGTGATCTGTACATGCATGCAATGTGATTGTACATGCATGCAATGTGATTGTACATGCCAGTGTGATGTGTACATGCATGCAATGTGCATTGTACATGCAGTGTGATTGTACGCATGCAGTGTGATTGTACATGCATGCAATTGATTGTACATGCAGTGTGATTGTACTGCAGTGGATGTACTGTAGTCGTGATTGTACATGCAGTGTGATTGTACATGTAGTGTGATTGTACTACATGCATGTAGTGGTATTGTACATGCAGGTGTGATTGTACATGTAGTGTGATTGAACAGTGCATGTAGTGTGATTGTACTGCAGTGTGATGTTACATGCAGTGTGATTGTACATGCATGCAATGTGATTGTACATGTCGTGTGATTGTACATGCATGTAGTGTGATTGTACATGCAGTGTGATTGTACATGCAGTGTGATTGTGCATGCATGCAATGTGATGTACATGTAGTGTGATTGTACATGCAGTGTGATTGACTTCCTGCTGCCAGTTCATCTACGCGTGAACATAATCCCGAAAGCCTCCGTTCACTTACTTACCGTGAATGCGAAATATTTTCATGTCAATCTGCCTGCTCTCCCTTAGCGTCTTGCATGTGCTTGCTCGTGTGATGTGTGAACGGTTGCTGGTTTTCGTGTATTTACTTGCTCGTCGCTCTAACGTCGGCAGGTGTTGCTACGTAAGTCGGTGAATGCGACGGTGGCAATATACGGCACGTTTGGACTGTTCGCTGCGATCGGCGCCATGCTGCTGCCGATAGAGACGCAGGGACGCCCGATGAAGGACCACCACTAAAGGCTAGCACAGAGACACAACACAGAGAGAGAGAGCGAGAGAGACCCCGGGGGAAGGAGCACCCAGCATTAGCACTGTGACACAACACAGAGAGAGAGAGAGAGAGAGAGAGAGAGACCTCGGGGGAAGGAGCACCTAGCGTTAGCACTGTGACACAACACCGGAGAGAGAGGAGAGAGGAGAGAGAGAGAGAGAGAGAGACCCTCGGGGAAGGAGCACCTAGCGCGTTAGCACTGTGACACAACACAGAGAGAGAGAGAGAGAGAGAGAGAGAGGAGAGAGAGAGAGACCTCGGGGGAAGGAGCACCTAGCGTTAGCACTGTGGCGGGACCTCGTAGATCTTGGTCGGGGCCAGGCTGGTGCAGCGTGTCTTAAGCTGGGTTTACACTGCCAACTTTGTGTTGGCGAATTGCCGAATTGTACCAACTTCGCAATTTCGCAACTGACAATCGGCAGTGTAAACGCAAAAGTTGCACGTCCAACCGATTGATAGCAGCTAGTTGGGAGAAAAGAACATGTTCTAATTCTGCAATTCACCAACTCAAAGTTGGCAGTGTAAACCCAGCTTTATGCTGTCAGTAGAGCTCATAGGGTCTATGTCCCCCAGGGTACTGCCGGAACGTACCCTGGGTACGGTCCGGTATACCGGAACGTACCCTGGTTAACTATCTGATATGGTTAGGGTTAGGGTTTAGGGAGTACAGGGACGTGTACAGGATTTGTACCAGGGGCGGTGTCTAACCGTAACCCCAATTTGCGAGCACGCGAAAAATTTTGAATTTAGACCCCCTTAGATTGCGTTTCCTGCGCGAGCAGGGGGGGTCGGACTCCTGGACCCCCCCCCCGTACACGCCCTGGAGTAGGCGTAGGCACCTCCCTAGACTCGTTAGTGGTTAGACGAGGTACGGTTCGCATATTAGATAGTACCAGGGGTACGTTCCGGCAGTACCCAGGGAGACATAGACCCTCTCAGCGTCAGTCAGCATCT